TCCAAAAAAAACAGTTATGTGCCTAGCTACGGAGAAACCTAGAGAAGAGGTTCAACTTCAATTAGTATTCATACAAGGCAAGAGCTTGAAGAAGTCATACAAGTTCATCCCTATCACCAATACACAACTTTCTTTAAGTTTGCCCAAAAATACTATACAATGCTCCTAAGTCCTAGCTAATAATGGACCGACAAAGATGCTCTGATTTGGATTTGTAAGCAAAGACTTGAACCAAGAGGATGTCGTGACTTTTGAAATAACAAAATTGCTCAAAGAACTTTGTATCATAGACATCCATTCAAACCAACATAAGGAATAGATCCCATGTACCATCCGCACAACACAACCAACAGAGGCAAATCAGCAATAAAACAACATTTTGTCCAGAAAACCTCATGTGGTAACAACCAACAGGAAATATTCAACAAAAGCAGTGCTTAGATGGTAAACACCATCCACCTCCAACCCTAACATTGTAGTCTGAGTCACCACAGGAGCACCTCCAACCCTAACGTTGTAGTCTGAGTCACCACAGGAGTGAAAAAAGGTGGGAGCTCCTAGGAAGGGTAAAAAAAATATTACTAGAAAATTTTCACGGCCTAACTTTGCCAAACCTTCAGACAACCAGAAACAAACCAGCCAAAAATTCCAACCCTAGACATACTAAATACATATACACTGAAACAACTGCGAACACAAGATGATCATCCGCAACAACCAATGAACAGACACACACCACAAAATCTAATCAAATCATTCGAGAAAAAGCAGATAAACACAAATAAAACGATACGAAAAATCAACAAAACATGAAGCAATAATCAAAACAGAATTTTTACGCGAGTGTAGGCAAGCAAAGATGCTAGCGATCAATCAATGGATCGAAGAAAAGATAAAAGAGAAAGAGAAAGGGATTGACCTTCGGAATAGCGATCGAACAGCGAGATTCAAACCCTAAATTTAGCCGAGAAAACGAAGAAAGATCGATGAAAGATTACAAGGGAATCTCCTTCTCTCTGAAAAAACTTGAGAAAATAGAGAGAGAATGAGAAAAAGGTCTACTGTCGTTCAATAAATATATGTGTGAGAGAGAGGGAAGAGACCGGTTATTTGGTCACTTAATACTCGGTCCCTCGGGTTTAGAGAAATGGTAATTTGGCCCTTAAAAAATAAATCTATCTTAGTAAATTAATGGAAATGGCATAGAATCAACCTCAACTTTCTCGAAAAGTCGAATGCACTCTTAAATTATTATAGCGATCTATTACATATTCATATATTACTTAGAAATGAATTTATTTTCACCCTAAAAGTTGATATGTCATAAGATTGAAAGTAAAATTTTAAAAAAAAACGCGTAAAAGAATTATTTTAAAAAAAAATTAAAAAAGCGTCAACTCATTTTCCATAGACAACCCTTCCAACTTCATTCTTTTTTTTCTTCATGTCATTTGTTTTCTTTTCTTCTTCTTTTATCTAATCAAAATCACCTTTTTTTCAATTTAGTAGTTGACGTTGTTGTTGGTGATGACCGAAAAATGTGTGATGGGTTAATAATGTGTTTGTGGTAGTTTGCGGTGGTTCTAATTATGATGATGTAGGTTGTTGGTAGTAGAAATTGATCACAATGATGACAATGACTAATAGTAATGGTGGAGGTGAGGGTAGGGCGGTCATGGTGATGACCGAAGAATGTATGGTGGTAGCTGGCGGCGATGCTAGTTGTGATAGCAGATAGTTTGTTGGGTAGTGGGGAATTGACTGTAGTGGTAGTAGTGATTGTGGAGGTGGTAGCAGCTACAAAAATGGGAGTGGCGATGGCAATGGTCATCCTAAATATTCGCCATTGTTAATGGTATAATGTTATTGCTAATGATCATCCTAAATATTCAAATATTCTATCTGATTGCAGGGGTCTTCTTCAGCAGTCGGGACCCCCCCCCCCCCAATACTCCATAGCTATCGGGAAACTAACAGTGTAGCAGACACGCTTGTGAAGGAGGATGTCATTATGCAGTCAACTAATTCCAGCTCTTTTTGGGAAGTTCCACCCCTGTTTGTTTTGAAGAAAGTTGAAGCAGATAAGGCTGGGACTCGTTTGTTAGGCCTAAACGGCCAATATCTATTTTGTATAAGTGTAATAATACTAGTAACGACCCTCCCCTAAACTGTAACAGCAAGCAAGTTGGTCTGCCTCTACCATGTAATGACACATACTAGTTATTAATATATTATCTTGTTTATCAAAAAAAATAAAAAATATATATATATATGTTCTTACTCTATAAGAAAATATGAAATTAGCTACAAAATTTATCGGTAATCACTACATAATTCGTCACTAAAAAAATCCTAGCAAACTAAATTTCCTTATATTTCGTCCCTAATTTGTTGCCAAATGGGATTAGCATGAAATTTTTATTGTTTTGCTATGAAATTTTGTTTGTTGGTAATTCCTTATTTTCTAATATAAAATTAGTTGTTTTTTTTAATCAAAAACACATTATGAGTAGTTTATTTTAATAGATTAATCTTATTAATTATATTTTGAAAATATAAATTTAACTATTAATAATTTATGTAATTATATAATAGTAAAATATATTGAAAGAAAATAACAAATCTCTTATAATTTGTTTCTTAATAAACAAGTAAAAAGGAAAATGGTCGTTAAGTAAAAAAGAATAAAGGAGTGTATAGCATGTGTTCTCAGATAACACACTTTAGATATATCTGGGCATGAAGAAGTAATTATCCTTCACGAGATTCAAATGAAAAAATGAAAAATATATGGAGTTAATTAAAGTAGAGTAATTTACACACTTTAATAGTTTAATATTAATCTTTATACAAATAAGTAATTAATGGTTCACTAAATACAAATGGAAATGGAAAATATACAAAGGAAATTAGAGTACAATTATTATGTTAACGTGTATACAATTATTTATTGAATTTACATTTTATCCTTCTATTGACATTGTTTCCAGAAGGAAGTATTATTAGTTACTTATTTTTTCCAACAAAATCCAAACTTTGTTTATTCCATATCTTCAACAAAGTACCGAGGTGGGGTGGGGGTTGTGAAGACCTTACCTCCGAGAGAACACTAAAAATACATAAACTTCTTAAGTTTGCATCAACCTTATGGCCAAATAAATATCGAAAATTGAGTGAGGATATAATTTTCTTGAATGAAATAATTTTATATATACATGTAAAATAATTTTTTTTATTACCTTTATTACTTGTGAGTTGTGATTGATGTGATGTGATGTGTTAAATAATAATGCACACCTTATCGTAAAAAAATGAGAACATATTTCTATTTAACATTCACAAAACAATAATTAGGCTTATTAGCATGAGGATTTTTTTAATAAACTTTACGTCTCTATCTTCATCATATTCTTGATTTTATAAATCAAAGAGGTGAAATTAGAAGTTTAGTTTACTCTTGAAATTATTGCAATAATTGCTTAACCTTTAAATTATTTATTTGATTGTGCTAGATTTCAACAATCAATGATGTTTTAAAGGTTTTGATTCCATATAATATATTTGGTTCACAAGTACTTTGATATTGTTTCCATTATCTCGAAAGGTTACTATTTTTATCAAATATTTATTTTAATGATTTTTTTATTTTTAATTTTTCAAAAGATCATCTAAATATCAATCTCATTAATTTGTATATATTTTTAGCTGTTGTTGCTCACTCAAGATTTGATGCACAATAAAATGAGATATTCTCAACAAAAAAGGACGTGTTCCCTTTCGTAACACAAAAAACCAAGTGATTAAGGATAGATTTAGAAAAATAAAGTTAATTCCTTCTTAATTATGTTTTTTTAAAAACATTTATTTTGGACTAAAATAAAAAAAAGACCAAAAGATCACTTAATAAGTGAGGAAAAAAATATGGGAAAATTGTATGAAATAACAAATTATTAATTCAAATTAAATATTATAGCCATAGTTATTTTATTTGTAATTCGCAGCAAATATCCCATTTTTTTGACATCTTATTCGGTATACATTTAGCCATTTTCGGTATACAATTAGTCATTTTGTACATTTCGGTATAAAATGTGTTTGTGCTTGTATAAAGCGAGAGTAAAGTATATATACAAATACAAATACATATATTTTCGTCCTATACACTTATAATTATACAAATACAGATTTTATTATACAAATTACAATGTATAAATGAATTTATACAAAACTGAACAATTTGTATAAAATTGGATGTATCTAGCGAATTATACAAATCAAAAGCTCTATAACAAACATAAAATTTGATATGGAGCGCAATTATGCAAACTATAGTTATAACATACAAATATGATTTTTATGTTTGCTATGTGAAAGTTGTTCAAAAAATATAGTATTAGTTATTTTTCTCCTTTTACATGTTTATGTCATTGAAAATTAAATTGAATTCAAATTCATTGTATTGAAGTTTGATAATTTAATTTACTGTATCCGAACGAATTTTAAATGTTTGGTATTTAATATTCACTTTTAATTATTGAAATTGAACTTTGAGAATATTGAACGTTCACCCCTAAAAATTATATGTCTGCCTTTTGTTTGTAATGACAATAATCAAGTCGATTTATAGTAGAGATCTAAACTCTAAATATGATTGTTCTAAAATCAACATTTCATATATTGATTCAATTTGAGCTCTCTTGTTGAGAATGCTAATTTATTTTCAATATGATGCCTTGCATGAGACTTGAACCTCCACACTTTGCATGTTCAGATAAATATTTAAAAATTACATAAAAAAAAACTATAAATTATAATAATTAAACAACTTATATTGTCTCTCAAAATTTTATAAATGTCACGTAAATTGAGTGAAGGAGTAACACATATTATTTAAAAATTACACCAACAAATATTGTAAATTATAATAATTAATAATTTAAAATTATATAAAAAAAATGGAAGATTCGATATGTGGTACATAATTAGGACAAAGGTTGAATTTCACAAAGCGAAGGTGAATTGTGCAATGCCTCGATACAAAGACGAGCCTCCTGCAGTCCGTGTTTACACTGTTTGCGATGAATCCAAGTTCGTTTTCGTCAACCACAGTTTTATCTCCGTCTTCTAAATTACGAATTCAAATTTATTTGATAATTTCACGATTTAGGTTTTTTACTAACGTTGTTGCAGATATTTGATTGTGAGGAATGTTCCGGCGTTGGGTTGTGGTGATCAGCTCTCTCAACTATTCTCCACTTACGGAGAAATTGAAGAGTATGGCTTTTCTCCTAATTTCTCTTAACACAATCCATTGTTGTGCATGGGTTTCTTCAAAATACTTACTCTCCGCATTTTTACTTGTCCACTGTACTCTGAAAAAAAAAAAAATCCACTTTTATTTGTCATTCGATTTGTTTCTCCTGTCCAAGTCAATATTGAATAAGTAAAAATGGATGAAGCTTTAAGTATTTCTTTTTGATGTTAAAGGGTACTGTATTAATGTGCAGCACCTTCTGGTGCTGTGGGGAATTTAGTGTAGTGAGCTCAAAAAATCTACCATGACCTCAGTATCATTTGCAATTGTCATGTTACACCAAAAAACAGTTAGGATAAACATCTTTACTTAGGACAAACTACAAATTCTGACCACCAAAGGTTGAACTACGGTCTCGAGTTTGAGCCCAGTGTATGGAGTTGCCTCTGGTAGGGAGCGATTTATCCTCTATGTGGGACTTTTCAATGCGAATCTGGATTAGTCAGGTCCCAAAGCGGGTACCGGAGATTGGGTGAGAAACCAAAAAACAAACTACAGATTCTGATTTGCTTACAAAAATCCTTGCATTCCTTTCCTTCCAAATGGCCCATCATATTACTGAAGTTAGAGTATTCCATGTTTTCATCTTTGTCTTCCCTAGACCTTTTGCAAGTAATTGGAGATGTACTCGTATTTTAAAACCTTTTGGCTTGTTTTCATCTTTATATACATAATAACTCAACTTAACCGTGCCTTTTGTTTCCAAAGAGCATGTCATGTAAAATTTTACAATGATGTTAGCTCAGCTAGTTCCATCTAAAACTTAGATCAATTTTTCTATATTCGAAAATTGAAGGTTAAAAATGGAAGGTCTAAGAATAAAATAAGAAATCCTTTTCAAAATGAAAGAGTTGAAAAAGTACACACAAAGATAATAGAGGGACTAATACTGCATTTTGCTCTTTGTTCTCTATTTTTTTTTGTTTCATTTGGGCTGAGGGGGGGATGGCAGAGGGGATACCTATATATCTGCTTGCTGAACTAATATGTTCCTTGCATCTTGTAATTGTTGGCTTTTTTCTTTACAAATAAACTTAGGATGGTGATTGTACTTAGCGATGCACAATTTAAAGATGAAGTTGGTAGTGTCAATAATGTCTTCTAGTGTGTTACCTTCATCATTACTGTTCTTCTGGTTTCTTAGATGTAAACCAATGGATGCTGAAGATTGTGAGCCATTTACAGACGTCTTCTGGATCAGGTTTTGCCGGGTTGACAATGCCAGGTGATTACAATGTTCAGATCATAACCGTTATATCTAGAGATGTTAATGAATATTGGTATTTTCTTTTATAGTGTTGTGAAAGATCTCATTAAACTGCTAAGGGAAAGGGCAAGATTTGCGTATTGCTAAAGGACTCCAATACCCTTATAACACAATAGAATTTTTTTGAAGGAACTGGTCCAGCATAGCTTTATTTTCTGGACGATGATTTCCATGCAATTCTCCATATACATGCACATTTGTTTTTATATTGCTTCGTGAGTTATGCTTACATATTCGCTATCCAGATTTGCCAAAAGGAAACTGGACGAGTCTGTTTTCCTAGGAAAAAAACTACAGGTTTCTTATGCACCTCAATTTGAGAGTCTGCACGAGACGAAGGAGAAGTTAGAAGCAAGGAGAAAGGAGGTTTTAGCACGATTAAACCGTAAGTACCTTGTCACAAAGTTAGAAATTACCTTGTCCAACGAGAAAAATTCTGCCTTTATTTTGTAGACCCCTAGTTTCTTATTTTGGAGTTGATGTCCTTTCAGCTGGAAGGTCGAAAGGATCTGCCACATATCGGCCAGATATGATTGGTGGGCCCTCAATAACTCCCTCTCCAGCCCAGTTGAATTCTACCACACAATCAATTGGCTCTAATAATAGGTAGTTAAATAAAATGCTCTGAATTGACTTTTGAATTTTATTTATCAAAATAAAGTAAAAACATTTTCATTGTAGGCAGAGCTCGAGTTCTCAGTGTAATTCTGTTCATGACATGCAGTGTTCTCCCATAACAATGGTTTCTTCAGACAAGGTTAGTCATAGGTAACAAAAGTATTGCATTTATACCTCAATATGATTTTGACTTTTGGCAACTGATATTAACATTAGTATCAGATTCAATAGTCATATTATGAAGCAGGGGGTTGGTTGCCAGATAATCATTTCTCTGCAATGTTGAGTGCCTGACGGTTATAAATGTTATCTATAAATTTTTGGCAGATCTCCATAGGTTGTGAAACTAGGAGACATTATTTTTTGGTAAACTAGGAGACTTAGCATCCCTTTGTTCGCTTGTCATTGGTGGATTAGCAAAGGGAAGAAGAATGATGAAAGGGAGAAAAATCAATTTTGTGCTGTGTTCTTGGCAAATTAGAAGCTGTAGACAGGTTTCAAGGGGTAGAATTTTCTGTCAAGGATTGAAATGACTTCAAATAAACATAAAAATCAATTTTTTTTTAATGCTAGTTGAAGAATTACCACTAAATGAGGTCAGTAGTGAGTGCTGGGATTGCAAAAATTAGGAACTTTCATTGGTTGATCCGAACTCACGCCCGTGAGTTAAGCCTTGGGGCTCACAGAGTTGGTATCAGGGAGAGGACTCAGGATTATCTAGATTGGGTATGTGGTTGCGCGTTATATGGGTAAGCCTAATGGTCAATGAAGTGAGAGGAGAACCATATCTCAGGTTCAAATCTCAGCGGAGACAAAAACAATTGGTGATTTCTTCCATTTGTCTTAGCCTTTAGTAGACGTATCCCATGGAATTGGTAGTGTGCGCAAGCTACGCTGGACACCATGGTTATCAAAAAAGTATGGGTAAGCCTGCCCAGCTGGCTGGAGCTTGGATCCCATCATTTTGGGGTTAATTTAATGCTTGTTTAGCTAGTGAGGGTCATGAACGGTGCCAACTATTCTTGTTCTGCCTCATCTTCTTTTCTTTTATTCTCCCCTTCCAGTTCTTGTGCAACAAATTATCGGCAGAAAGGCTCAATTGGTAATTTACCTAAGAGATAATACATTTTCCGTTTAGTATTTGCTCCTTTCTCATTCTACTTATAGACATGAGGAGGAACAACAAAGAGCCCCTTACAGAAGAGAGGGGAATGAACCTAGAGATAAGAAATTCTCTTAAAAATGATTATTCCGTTCTTCAGTTCAGTCAGGCCACCACATCTAAAGTTCTAGTTGTAGAACCCCCTTTTTACCTGGTTTCAACTTTTCTTTGCAACTCTTGTATGAACTCTATGTGCGTGAGTTTTGCTTACTGCATGCAAGTTCACAACACTTGGTTTTGAATTTCTGTCGAATGACTGTTTCTTCTCCACTTTGGTAATGATGTCAGGAATACTTTCCTTCACAATCTATGAATCAAACTGTTAAGCTGGTCAGAGATAAACTAAATAAGGTAACAATCATTAGTCTTTTGACTTGCGATCATGGATTTTAGATTTGCTTGTTTATTTTTTTTGACAATTTGATCTGTTCTTCTTTAGATACAATCCAGTGCGGACCATTTAGAAGAACCATCCAAGCGAAAACGAGTTGATAATAGGAGACGGATATAAATCCTATGCAGGTTTTGACAAGAGTATATGGCTATGGATTTAGTGTTCCCCCCAGAATATATCAAAATCTTTCTATAGTTTCTTTTCCATTCAGTAACACCACCTCTTCCTGGAAAATCATCCCTTGATGCTGAATCTGTAAACCAATACTTTTTCTGGGTTCTAGTCCATGGTATCCAGAATCTCTTCTGACTTCTTCACTAACTGGCCTCTGGGTATCAACAAAAATGATGCCGTTCTTATTTTAGCTCCCAAGTCTATCCAATTTCTTCTTTGTTTCTTCGATGTTATTACCATAGATTCAATCACTATAACTGATAATCCTATGTATACAGTTTTCAGAATTTTCCAAGCAAGTTAAAGATTGAAACCCAGGCTTATTATCACTGTTCCTGAATTGCTTGATAAGGTCAATGGGTTTAAATTGTGTAGTTTGCTTTTCTGTCACCAGAAAAATTCTAATTTGAGCGTTGCAACATTTAATGATCTAGTTGATAAAGCAGGGTACATGAATTGCGACAACTGTGGGATAGAGCGAAGTGACATTGCAGCATTCTGTTGTGTTGCCTATGTTTCATGTGTTTGGTCCTGTTAATTTTATGTATTCACAGTTGCAGAAGGGTAATACTGTTGTGTCTATGGATAAGTTTGATTTGGAAATGATTATATTGATAGGTACAGGGTGACACATTTATGGATTGTTTCTCAGATGGTTTAGCATTCGCAAAGAATCCTGTGGTGAAGCATAATTTAACTTCATTGAAGCATGTTGGATCTGGTGCTGCACCTTTAGGGAAGGAAGTTAATGGATGAATGCAATAAGATGTCCTCGCGTTGTTGTTGTTTACGGATATGGTATAACAGAAACCTGTGAGATTGTCTCATCAGAGAGAATCAATATGTAGGCTGCAGAAAACAGGATCAACAGGGACTTATAGTTCCAGGGAATGGAAGCTCAAATAGTTAAGAGTTGATAAACTGAAGCCTCTTCCTCCTGGACAATTAGGGAAAATATGGGTGCACACAAGGCAATTTCAACAATCCATAGTGCAGATATTGGGTACTTTGATGAGGAAGGAATGTCCTTCCTATGTATTAGTTTGACAGATGCATAGAGCTTATACATTAAAAATGTTTTCAGGCTGCACATGCTAAGCTTGAAGGTCTCTGTTTTTCATCCTGAAATATTAAATGCTGTTGTACCAATTCCTGATGCTGAGGCCGAGGCTGCTAGTGAATGAGCTTAGTATTCTAACAAGGAGACTCAAAGAAGTTAAAAAAAAATGTCACATCTGGAATTTGAGTCTGTATTTATCTTATGTCAACGGGATTCAAAGTTTTATGTATGTATAAAAGAAAATGTTTTTACGCTATTTACATAGTATGCGTTCCTACTTCCTATCCGCCACTGCTAACATTGGGATGGCGACAATCACAAACAATGTTCCTAAGTCAGCCTCTGGGGACATCCTACAAAAACTAATTGAGAAGCTCAACGAAAACTATAAGATTGGAATAGTTTACTCTTTGATCGTTAAATGTGCATCCACTGACCCAAGGCTGTTTCATAGACACACTATCCTTGTATTTTCAAATAGTAACAGAATTAAACTGATGATGAGAAAATGGGAAGAAACATGTATAGTTTGTAACATGGAGTGGACCACGATGAGTTTCAACAGTATAATCTAGGCAATGTAAAAAGAGAGCAAATACTTCACAGGAGACTTCTTTCAGAGACTCAATTGAATCTTGATATAAGAAATTCAAAGATCTAACATTGCAAGATTAAATGAAAGCTGGGCAACGTTTCTCAGGCGGGGTATAAAAGCAAGAAAGGCTATGCTGATTTCACCTCTACAAAGATAGATAATTTGAACAAAAACTATGTTAAACACATCAGGAAAAAGTTCATGCGAAAGAAATCCTTAATGTAACCGAGTGTTAAAGAATTCTCTTCACCAGTTGGTGTAGGGAGAGAATGTAGTAAGATGTCGCATAAGCCGCATTCCCCCCCAGCTTTAGTCGTAGCAGAGAAGCAAATGTATATGTTGTTAATCCTCCTTGTTGCTAGCTAGTCTTGCCCGGTGTCTAAGTTCAGCTTTTTTCCACCTCACAATCAGGTAGCATAATGAAAAGAGGGTATTAACCTGCAAAGAAGAAAGGTGTAAAGCAGATTAGCGAGTGAAAAACAACAGAAATGACGAAAACAAAGAGAGCCGAATGACCAAAGATACTCACCAAGATTATTATCGCAATAACCAACAGAGGCCCAGACCAGAGTGTGGAAAGAAAAATGCCATGTGAATCAAAGTAATTCTGGCGCGCAAAGCTTTTCCAGTTCGCAGCTAATATGCGATTAAGCCTCTCAGCACCATACACTCCTCCCACTGTATCATAAGGTAACTAAAAAAAGTGAGGAAAGAGGGACATTCTCATACACTGCAATGGAAAAGATCAAACTTCTAACATGCAAGCTAGAAAGATGTCATCACTTCAGTTTCACAACACAAAGCTACTAGCATACGGAATATAGTACCTGCTACTTAACAGCCTAAAAACTTATGCTTTCATTAAGCTCAACAATATGAATTTTTCAATCTGAAAACTAAGACATATGTAGTCTGCTAAACCCAAAACATAGAAAACCATGAAGACAAAATAGAGTAATGTCGAAAGTTTAGCTTTCTTCCTAAAACATAAGTTCTATGTGTCATTGTGAAAGGGGAAGCCTAGCAATCCATGTAGAAAGTTCAGACAGGTTATTCCGGAACTGTATTATGTCATTGAGCTTTTGAAGTTGTCTACTGAGGACATTTCTAACGAAAAAGGGGTAAAAAATGGATAAAGTAATTTTTAAAGCCACGTGACATTTTTGGAATTAAAAAACCAACTTTAGAATTTTTTTTAATTCAGTAAATATAGGTTTGTTAACAAAAAGGGTAAATAATGCATCATTTGTTAGACGGCAGAGGTATATATGCACCACATGTTTAACAAGGGGGTATATCTGCTCTAAATTGCAAAGTTGAAGGGTATATTTACCCCCTTCCCTTCTCACTTCATGGAGACAAAATTATCCTACTTCTTGTCATTTGGTGGCAAGCACTTATAGGAAGAAATTGTTATGGGAGCAGGCATAACTCTTTAGGCCGTTTATCACCTGAACTCTTCTGCAAATCTAGAAAATTGTATCCAGCATGCTACATGTGTCAGAACAGCCTAGAATCAGTTAACCACTTGTTCCTAAATCCTACATTCTTCAGTGGTCACTGATCTTTAAAACATGTTCCCTTCAGTTTTTGCAATTAATTGGAGCCCATCAAAGATGCAGTTGAAAATTGATGCCTATGGAAAGTTGACAGTACAATCAAGAAAACCCAGCATGTATTTTTTGGAGTCTTTGGAAAGAGATGAATCTCAGATTTTTTAATGGCATCTCAACTCCTAACTGTAGACTAAAATCCTTTTGCCTATTGAACCTCTTCAGTTGGAGCAATCTTATACCCTGTAAATGATGTTATTCCCCTTTATTTCATGAGCTCCCTATCAGTGGTTTAAAACCGTACTTTTGCTTTCCGGTTAAACTCCCTGGTCTAGTAGAGGAAGTTGTTGTATTAGGAGTTTGACCATGATTTATTGTGTACTTACTTTGCATCTCCTGATGCCAATTTAATACAACACTTAACTTCATGAAAAAATATCAAGAAATATCAGAAACTGGATAACTGCAAATAGCGGTGAACTTACGTGCAAAAAGGAACAAAAACATCTGGAAATTGATGTTCTTCCGAGACACAATACATACTAGAAGAAACACGGCGTGAAATGAAAGAAGACCTACCAACCAAGGTTCCTACATAAAGAAAGGAAAATCATTAATAAGCAAGACAGCCAAATAAATTTGTCTTTAGTTAAAATGCAAAACTCTCATGTTTGACAAGCTCAAATCACATCTTTTGTTAGCCAATGATACCTCTTGCTCAAATTTTTTAATAATAACAAATATATTTTGGTAAGGGAATGATGTATGCAATGATGAATACATTATCTCCTTTAAACATTACAATTTCAATTAGCAAGCAAATGCTAACATAGAGCTCTAACTTCTTTCTAAAATTCTCCTAGTATTGCATTAGACAGCTGGCAGCATCAACCACATGCCATATGATATCATTCCCCTTAAGGATCAAGTAGAGATCTTAGACCCTCTTTCTCATCTTTAGTTTCAAAAGTGGAGGACGAAAAGCAAATTCAAAAAGTGAGTAAAATGAAAAAAACAAAGAGGCATAACATGATTGGAACTAAGGAGTAAGGACCATATAGTAGAGGAAGAGATAACAAGATTGCAACGGAGAGAAAGGAACATATAACCAACTCTGGGTGACTGTAGTACCGAGGTAGCAAAATACTACTTAGGCAAATTACAATTGAACCGACAGCCAAAGAATTTTCTTTAGAAGGTTTGCCTAGCCGAGCATTAACACAGTACATCTTGCCAACAATTTGCCTTGCCTGGCCTTTATCCAAGAAAAATCTTTAAACTTCAGCAATCACATATGATGGGATTTTTAACATTCTAAACCAACTACAGATCATCCTATCATAATTAAAGAAAGAAAAGTGGAATTTAGAAAGATGTTTTATTTCAATACACAATTTTACGAGGATAGGAGAGTTCTACCTCTCTTCAACTGATAAGGCTCCTTATATAGATGGTGTCCTTCTAACACTGATCCAATTTGATTGAATCGGTACTAATATATTTAAAAATCGCGAGCTAAATGTTCTGCTGAAACCTACTACTTAAAAGTAAAAAACGACACTAGGCTTAGAGAGAAGGAAGAAATCGCCTTGATGTTTTTCGTGAATTGTGATACAATAAACCCCACCCACAAAACCTCTGGCTAAGAACCAAAGAAAGGCTTCCCCATTCAGCTCCTTTGGTGACTCAAGCCTCTAATCTCATGGTTGGAGGTAGATGGAAATTTCCAATTCCACTAGGCTATCCCTCTCTTGCCCCAAAAGAAATCATATACAATAATAGCAGGAACTTCACAGAAAAAATGCAAAACAGTACATGAACCAAGTCCAAAGCAGAGCAAGATAAGCCTGCGGAAAATTTTTCACATATAAAACTACATAGCTTAGTTCTTAGAAAATATGGTTTATCTACCAAAGTATATGTAATTCTAGGAGACATGAATGTTAGAATGTACAACATTTCAATGTTACCATACGTTCTGCAATTAGATAATTGGCCTGACCCTCCGTTTTCCCTAGTACAAGCCATCCCCCCACCCCCACTGCTCCCAAAACAAAACAACAACTATGAAGCCTCAATCCCAAACAAGCTCGGATATGAATCCTCACTAACCATGTTTCACCGGTTAAGCTCAACACACACACACAACCCTTCCCTTTCCAGCTGCCCCAAACAAAACAACAACTACTAATCCTCAATCCCAAACAGGTTGGGATATGAATCCCCACTAACCACGTTTCACCATTTAAGCTCAACACAACACCCCCATCCACCCAAACAAACAAACA